TAAAGGTAAAAGTTTTGTTTAACCAGATGTATACCTGTAATGCTGGGTTTACAAGTCAGACACACGCGGATAAAAAACAAACCGTAAGGTTTATTCAAAGGAAGATGAGCAGGGTTAACACAAGACCAGGTCAATAACCAGAATGATCAAACACAGTACATAGGAGTAGGCGAAAGCAGAGTCGAAAAAAACAGGCGGGGGTCGTTACCAGAGAATACACATACACAAAATAACAAAGTCAAAACAGGAGCGAGAATCATAAATGAGAGAAACAAAGCAAGGCCAAACACGGAACAGCAGTCAGGAAAACAAACGAGACAATGGCAATACTTTGCAAAGACATGAACCGAACAGACTAGAATATATATACAGAGTTCAACAGGTGGTGGTAATTAGAATTCAGGTGACTGTGACCTGCTGGGTGGTTTGTGATTGGTTGGAGGAGTCCTGGGATTAACAGAGATTCTGGGAAATGGAGTCCTTGAGTGTTTGACTGAGAACCAGGAAGCGTGACAATACCAAACAGCTCAGCAGATTAACCGGGTCTCAAACTGCAACAGTAATATTCAACAGGCATTATTATTATTGTTTCTTTTATAGCTTTACATTTTTAAGAAATCACTGTAAAACTGCAACACACAAAGTAAAGACTCACACAAAGATTGAATGTCTTTGAACTGCCTTAAGTTGTATTAAAGCCAGCGTGGGAAGTGAAGGTACACCATTGCTAGCTTGGTTGTAACATTGAAATTCCTATAGAAACCCTAGTGTATATCATTGTTATCGTAGTGGTGGTTCTCTACTTGTAACAAAAGGTTCTGCTATTGTTACAAGCTCATATCGTAACAATAGCAAAGCCTTTTTTGGTGCTTTATAGAACCCTTTTCAAAAAGGTTCTATGTAGAACCATCTACAGAACTTTTTCCACCAATCTGAAAAACCTTTTCATGATGCAAAGAACCTTTTAATCATGCAAAGCATTTGTTGAGGGTTATGGTTCTATATAGAAACACTTTCTTTGCTATAAAACATGTGAAGAACCATCTTTTTAAAGAGTGTATACTGGTTTTCAGTAGGATTAATAAATCACACTTTAACAGCCCACTGCTTGCTTCTTGTTCAAATAATAATGTGGACAGATCTTGTTGTGTTAAGAAGGAAGAAAAGAAATTGTTGCCTTGTGCTGCTAAAGAGTTGACAACATATGACAGCATAGGGCTGTTGTAGTACATAGACTACAGGGTATGTGACAAATATGATTTATTTTGGTGCTTTTTAAAGCCAAAGATGGCTTAAAGGCTGTTGACATAAATTTACATATAAATCTATCGTTGATTAATGATATCATTGTCAGTTGGATCAAGCTTGCCCCTCACCCCTGTCCAGGTCATATAAAGAAGATTTGAGACAAAAAAATCAATATAAAAAATTGATAGAAGAAAAAGAAACACTGTGTCAGTGTGCTGGAGTATGATACATGTTTTAGAGGCCAGAGGCTAAACTTAATCACTTTCTGTTGTGGAACTTTAAGCTCACACTCTGTCAGGGTTATTGTAGAGGATGTGAGCAGTTTGTCTCACTGTGGCTGCCTGAGACCCAGCAGGCACAGTAATAAACTCCTGAATGACTCGACTTCAAATCTTTCACTCTCAGAACATAATCATTATCATTCTGCAGCTCCACAGAGAAGTCCTCTGCTCCAGGACTACGAACAGGGCTAGAACCATCCTTTTTAACATACAGGATCCTTTTGAGAGCTTCCCCATCTTTCTGTTGGTACCAATGGACAAAGTTGCCCTCACTTAGTCCGGTCACTTTGCATTTGATATAAGCTCTTTTGGTCTTTTGCCTTGTCCAGGAGAGTTCAGGTTGCTCCACTGTCTGTCCCAGAACACCTACTGTAATAAACATTAAACTGTAAATGAGGCATTTTATTATTGTTCGTATGCTTTTTCTTCTTATTTTTTTTTTATCATTCAGATTCTTCCATCATAACCCTAAAAACTCACATTGATATGATACTTACCTACAATCACTGAGAAGAGAACAGCACACACATCTATATACATCTTTCATTTAGTTGTGAAATGAATTCAAATGAACTGTTCTTCATAAAATTTTGTGTGAACTGAGCAGTGTAATCTACAATGTACATCTCTTAGCTGTGACTCTTGTGATGTCATTTCCTGGATGCCAGTCAGCATCTGGTTCTTCTAATGTAGTTTATTGAAGATATAACTCAATAACAGCAATAAACACACACACACACACACGCACACACACACACACACACATTATCTAAGCCACTTATCCTCGCAGAGGGGTGCTGGAGCCTACCCCAGTGGTCACTCCACATAGAAAGGACCCTGTCCGCCCAGCCGGGGAATCAAACCCAGGCCTTTCTTGCTGTGAGGTGACAGCAATAACAAAAAAAAACATATTCATCATCAACATTTAGAAATATTAATATTAGGTTTTTTTTGTCTTGAGTTACCCTGAACTTCTGTTTCACAACCATTTGCTGTTTTTCACATCATTCACACTCATATTAGAAGATTTTTAGCATTACAATGTTGGTATTGTAATGTTAGTATTAGGTACTTTTTGGCTAAAACCCTTCCACTGTGTACAGTAGAGTGCGTGTATAATAATGTTGAATGTTGTTGGCTGTGTTCTAGTTTGTAGTTTGATGCTGGCATATAGAGAATGTAACATGGAGCACTAGTGTTCCATCACGACAAGTCCTAAAGACTTAAAACAGCATAACAGGCAGTGATCGACACCAGAGAGTGACAGTGTTCTGTGTTATAGTTTAAGTTTGTAGGTTGGTTAGGTTTGTTTTCTTCCACAGATACAAGGTTAGTTATTGTTATATATTTATTACAGATAAACTGGTCCTGACTGCAAAAAATGTCAAACATATCGTGCACTTCTTTCATGAAATAAAATTAAGTGCTTAAGTACTTGTTTTCTTTACGGCTGGAGTACATGATGAAGCAAATAAAGGTATATATACATTTAAACAGTTTAAGAGTGTTTTTACACTGTTAATGCATTTGTAACATGAATAAAGTGCACACAGTATAGTGCATACAGTAGTTTTTGTACAGAACTTCAGCTTGTTTCTTCACTGTGTCACTATAGTCCCAGCAGGCACAGTAATATACTGCTGAATGTTCTGTCTTTAAGTTGGGAATTTTCAAAACAAACTGATCATCTGCTTTCTTCTCTGATTTTAAGAACTCAAAACCAGGATCGTTTTGGTAGGATCCATCACTGATTCCCACATACTGAACTCTCTTCAATGTTTCATCTTCTTTCTTCTGATACCAGTGAATGTAACTGTAACAGCCTGAGGGGAATGTGCATTCTACTATGGCAGTCTTTGTAGCAGCTTTAGTCATTAGGAACTTCTGGTGCAGCTCCACAGCACTATCCACTGTTAAAAGGAGTTTAGTAAATAATGATTAAATGAGTAGAATATGCAAAAAATTGAAAATATATTAAATATTTTTATGAACACAACAAATAAGACATTATGAGGCTGAAGAGAAATATTTCATATAGCAAAGCAATAACAGGTTAAACACTGGTTAAACTTACCTGCACTAATTAAGAAAATGGTGAGCAGCACTGTTAACTGCAGTGGGAGATGCATTGCTATTCTTAGTGTAGGGAGTTCCTATGACTGCAGCAGTAGATACTCTCTGGAGAGTAAATGTTAATAAGGGAAAGTTATGCACTTCTCGCCCCCTTCTGGTAACCATTTGGTGTAACATGTCTTCCATAGGTGTTCAGCTGGATTGAGATCTGATAAACAAAGTCACATAATATTTACATAATTTTCATATTTATCAAACCATTCAGTGATCCGTCATGACCTGTGGATGGGGTCATTCTCATCCTGGAAGAGTCCATCCCCATGGGGATAGAAATATTCAAAATGTTTCATCATAGGGTAAAGATGACCAATCAGAATAACTTTGTATAGATTTCGAATGACCCTTTCTCTTATGAGACAAGGTGACCCAACCCATTGTTCTTACTGAGCTCAGGAGCAACTGAAGCTCAGCATTTTTATGCATGCAATGTTTGATTATATTATGCAGTGCTGTTGTCTGGAGCATCAGCAAAAGTGTAGAGTTTGATTTTCTCCTGTCTCTCAAAGATGAAAGCTTTAAATGCATTTATCTGACAGTTTTATTGGTCTACCAGGTGTTGCACAGTTGTTAGCCATCAGATTTTCACTAAATCTTTTAATAGTTTTGGAAGCTCCTGTTTGTTCACTTATTATCCTTTGACTTTCCACTTCCATTTGCAAGTGGATTATCTTATATCTAATCTCCTCAGAAATATCAACCTTTTGCACAATAATGTACATCACAGACCTCTCAGTCTCAGAAAGTGACACACAATTTTTGTGGTTGTCCTCAGGTTCTCACTCTATCTGGTTCTTCTGCCAGGACTCCTTACTGCACTCTAGACTGCTAAAGCCCTGTTTCAGCGTCTTTTACGTCGTTTTACAGCTTTGCAGAATACTGACCGAAGACTACAGTTCACATCACTCATATAGCAGGCCTTGTTTGAGAGAGTAGCACAGTGAGCTCCACCTTAGGACACCACCTGGTGTCCAATGGCCAAAAGTAGAAGGTTTCTTATATGCTTTTTTAATAAGCTATTTACTTACTTCTTGAGTACATATACTGTTAAATGCAATATAAATGATAATTCAACCAATAGTAAGCCAGCTTGTGCTGTGCAAATAGACATTCAAGACAGTCTCTTTCAATTACTTATTTATTTTTTTCTTTGACTAATGAATGCAACATTTTAAAAGTGCATTCAAAATGTGATTTTAATGGAGTCATTTTACAATTAAAAAAGTTTTAGTTTTTGCTTCTCTGCTACTGAGTAATTTATGTACTTCTACCATCTCTGATCTCTGCTTCAGGATTCACACTGTCAGAGTTTTTGTACAGGATGTGAAGAATTGCTGTCACTGTGGCTGCCTGACTCCCAGCAGGCACAGTAATAAACTGCAGAATGGCTCGTCTTCAGTGTGTCCACCTTTAGATCATAAGCATTAGACTTCTTGTCCACCTTTACACTGAACTCTTTTGCCTGTGGATGGTTGGGGTCAAATGTGAGGCCACTGCCATCGTGCTTAATGTAGAGTATTCTTCTGAGAGCTTCGTCTTTCTGCTGGTACCAGTGGACGTATGCTGTCCTCAGATCTGTCACTTTACAGCTGATGTAAACACTTTTCCCTGCTGGCTTTGTCCAGAAGAGTTCACTTTGCTCCACTGTCACTCCCAGCACAGCTACTGTAATCAACATTAAACTGGAAATCAGTCATTATAAAAGCTTATGGTTTGTTGAAATCACATGTAGTGACCTTGTTTGATATTGTACTCACCTTGAGTCAATGAGAAAAGAATAATAAACATATTAATAAGCATCTTTAACTGGAGTGTTAAATACAGTGCTGCCTTTTACATACTTGGATTTTCATTTTTGTGTGAGTTACCAGTTAAAACCAGTTAAGACTGCTGATGTCATTTCCTGTGGGTGGAGCACCAGTAACACTGTGTGTTCTTTGATTGGCCACTCCTGCACTGAAAGAGGAGTGTGTTGAAAGTGGGTGTTTATTTTTTATTTATTTGTTTTATTGTGTTTATTTAATTTAATCTGTGGAGTATTTGGCTATCCAAAAAGCAGGACTAAAAATCCCAGTATCTAGTCATTTTATCAGGGCTTTTTCATTGTGATCATAATTTCATTATTCACATTTGAAACACTGAGTGTAAAGATGAACATTTATGCACTCATACACATTCCATTCATTCTGGTGCTTTATTAAAGTTTGCTGAAATACAAGTTGAGTCCTCCCAAGTGTCTAACATTGCTCTGACTAGCTCCATAATTAGCTTTAGCATCAACTCATCTGAAGTGGAAGATTTCATCACTCAAACCTCCTAATCAGACATGAAAACCTATAGCTTTAGCATTAAGTGAAGAAAAAGTGTGAAATCTTTCCCACAAAAAACACTTTTCTCAGCTGCCTGAAACGTTGCATTGGAATTCCAGCTCTTTTCTTTGTTACAAGAAGACACACTCACGTGTCTACTGCCTGAAGAGAGCTGACAAATCAGAACGTGTCAGATAGGGGGTGACTAGAGATGTACAGTACGAAAAAATAATGTGTTTTTGGAACATTGAAGCATGTAAATTTATTCTGGTAGACCCCAAAAATAGAGTCATCAGTATTGAAAATTAGCATAATATGACTCCTTTAATTCTTTATTTCAGTCCTTTTCTTTGTTGGAAGGAGGTGAAGATGAATGAGAAGCTAATAAATCTACTCTACTGGAGTTGATTTGTTATATGTTGTTTAGGGTGGTTAATAATTCTATTTAAAGTATTCAGGCCTAATGCAGTGCACTCTGGCAGTTATTGTACAGGATGTGAGCAGTTTGTCTCACTGTGGCTGCTTGTGTCCCAGGTGGCACAGTAATAAACTGCTGAATGACTCGGCTTCACTGCATCCACTTTCAGAACATAATCATTACCCTTCTCCAGCTGCACAGAGAAGTCTTTTGCTTCAGGATGATCAGCATTAGGAACGATGCTAGTGCCGGCTTTATTAACATACAGAATCCTTTTGAGAGCTTCACCGTCTTTCTGTTGGTACCAGTGGACATAGTCAGTAGTCATGTCAGTCACTGCACAGCTGATAAAAACTCTTTTGCCCTTTTGCTTTGTCCAGGAGAGTTTAGGTTGCTCCACTGTCAGCCCCAACACAGCAACTGTAAACAACATTAAACTGTGAATGAATTATTCTAAGATTTTTTTTTACATTTTTTTCCTTCACTAAAGACTTGCATTGATATAATACTTACCTACAACTGAAGAGAAGAGAACACCATACACATTTATTAGCATCTTCAGTTAGACTTCAAGTCTGTACTTAATAAAATGCTCTGGCTTGCACCTTTGCTTTGTGTTTGCATGAACTCCAGTGTCATCTGTAGCATAAATCTTTCAGCTAGGGCTTAGTGATGTCATTTCCTGGATATCAGTACATGCATATGCACTGAATGTGTCTTAATGTGGCAAGTATAAAATGATGACGACAACAACAATAATAATAATAATAATAATAATAATAATAATAATAATAATAATAATAATAATAATAGCCACATGATCATTTTACACTGAAATACTACCATCACACTGCAAAAGTCCTGCTAAAGGGTATAAAAAGCAAATGTAGCTGAAGAACAAGTATGCAGCCTGTTTTTCCCTTGTCCTTTTTTGCACTATGCTTGAATTCTTTCATTAACAAGTCAACAATAAAGGATGCTGGAAAACTAAGACCAAGAATTAGACAGTTGTAGTCATATCAGGAGTGTCTTAATTGACATTTTGTATCAGTGTTTGCCCAAAAGTCTGTTTTGTCTATCTACATCATGCTTCTATGCTTTTTTTAAAAACAAGTGTACATTTTTAGAGTGTCAGTACACTTTATTATTGTTCAGTTGGAGTTCTCAGCTGCATGCCCAGGTCTTAGATGTGTTCTGCTGTGCAGCTTTAATTCAAGCCTTCCCCATTGTGTGAAGTGCACCACTAGTGAAGCATCACAGTAAGATGACTCCCTTAACTATTGTTATAGGTTGTGTTTATTTTGACTAACACCAGAGGGTAACACTGTTCTGAGATATAGTCTAACACTCTAAAAAAAAGTCCAGAAATATGAATTACTGGAAGCACTAGACTGATGCACCTTTAGGATCAGATGCACTTTCACACACTGTTTGTTCTGTAGGGTATGCATTATCTAATCCCTTGTTTTTAAAGAACTCATTCTCCTGGGCTTATCTTCTGTGCTTATTATTCCTTTATTCAATTTTTATTAATTCCATGCAAAAAAATCTAAAGAACATTTGTGATACCAAACGGGAAGATACCTGTGAGCTTAGCATTTTCTCTGTACAAAGGGATCTGTAAAGACACACTGGCAGCAAGCAGTAGTGAAAAGACCATGGAGCCAGCCGTCGTGGGTTTAATATCATCCAGAGTGGGCAGAATGTATACACCGAGCTGCAGTAACAAAGTACGGTGTTGCGGCATCTTTGAGCTTGACTTTTACAGCAATGACATCTCAAATTAATTGATCTTGTCCCATTTTTTTGCCCTTGCTGTCTATATGCTATACGCTTGTCTCTCCTTTCATGTTTAAAGGCACTTATTAGCTGCCCAGGGCCGGCTCATTTCTGTTTGGGCACTTTGTGGAGTGCTGCGGCTCTGCTGTGCTTAGAAATCTGACCTTGCTTGCCTGCAACATCATTTGCCATCTTTGTGACAGTTCCTTGTCCAGAACTCCATCACTAGTCTACCTTTGATGTGTTCGTTTTTTTTTGCCACCAAAAGCACTAGATTCAGTCACTCCATGCAATCTTCATGTGCATTCTTACATGCTTTTGTGCTGCTTCTGCACCTACTGATGGAACTTCCCCCTCGAAATTCGCCCCACTCATTTGCATAAACGATAGTATTGATAATATTCTCAGCCTCTTTCCAAGACAGTACACACCTGCACTTCTCTCAACTCTTTGTCTAGCTTAGAGGCTATCTGAGAACCGAGTAACCGCTGTTTCTATTCTGGTCATAACTCAGGGTGACTAAAGTCTACTTCACTTCTGATACCATGAATTGTTAATGAATGATTAGAACAGCCCTTGCTGTTTTGATGTAGTTTTAACATGAAGACGAAAAGGGTTGAGGCACATTTACTATACTACTTTCCATACTGTGCAATCCAATCACCTAATTCTTATTGCTTCCCCAGTATTGGCTAGTGCTTCAGTGTGGCTTCCAGCAAGCACAATGTCTCCACTAAAAGGAGGAAAAGGGGCATAGTGGTGTGCCCTGGAGTGGCACCAGCCATCACAATAAATTTGATGGGCCGCCACAGGTGCCTCCCCACCGAAGATGAAGTGTTTGTCTTAGTGATATGATGGTCGTGACAAGCAGAAAAAGACCAGACTCGAGCAGCACACAGCCAGAAGACTACAACCAGCTACAACTAAGGTCAACAATTTATTTCGCCAGCTTAAATTGCAATTCTGTTCTGTATAAAACAAATGATCATCACTCAGCTATATTAAATAAAACATAATAACAATAGCTTTATGCTGAAGCCTCTTTCAGACGAGATGCTTCACTGTAGCCTGAACTGAATTATTTTTTTAATGTTAATGTTAAAATTGATTATAGATTAAAGATTGTTTAGAAATGCTGTTTATTTTTTAAATCTTTTAAGCATTGTATATTTTCTTAATATATTCATTGTACATATTTATCAATGTCTTACTTCATTATCATTTACTTATTTATTTTCATCTTAATGTTCAAGAGATTTGAATTGGTGTGAATGTGTGTACTTCTTCCACCTTTAGTCTCTACCTAAGGTTTCACACGCAGAGTTTTTGTACAGGATGTGAAGAATTACTGTCACTGTGGCTGCCTCTCTCCCAGCAGGCACAGTAATAAACTGCAGAATGGCTCGTCTTCAGTGTGTCCACTCTCAATTCATGAATATTAGAACTCCTGTCCACCTTTACAGTGAACTCTCTTGCCTGTGGATGGCTGGAGTCATATGTGAGGCCACTGCCATCCTGCTTAACGTAGAGTATTCTTTTGAGAGCTTCACCGTCTTTCTGCTGGTACCAGTGGATGTAGTCAGTGGTCAGACCAGTCACTTTGCAGCTGATAAACACTCTTTTGCCCTTTGGCTTTGTCCAGGAGAGTTCATTTTGTTCCACTGTCACTCCCAGCACAGCTACTGTAATCAACATTAAACTGGAAATCAGTCATTGTAAAAGCTTATGGTTTGTTGAAATCACATGTAATGACCTTGTTTGATATTGTACTCACCTTGAGTCAATGAGAAAAGAATAATAAACATATCAATAAGCATCTTTAACTGGAGTGTTGAACACAGTTTTTGCCTAATGTTGCTGACTTTTACATACTTGGTTTTCATGCAGAGTTATCAGTTTCAAAATATCCTAACTATCTGATGTCATTTCCTGTGGGTGGAGCAGCAGTAACGGTGTGTGTTCTTTAATTGGCCACTCCTGCACTGAAAGAGGAGTGTGCTGAAACCTGCTGCTCTCTGTGCCTCCATCTGTCCCCACATGAACCACAGTTCACAGACTAATTGCTCTATCACACAATGCTGCCCAAAAATATTCAAAATGTGGGGATTTATTTATTTATTCATTTTATTTATTATTAATATTAATTAATGTATTATGTGTTCAATAAATCCCTAATATTAATTGTTTTTTCTTTTGACCTTAAAGGCCACAGTGTTAAGATAACAGAAATGGTGTATGAAAGTAGTACATTCATTATTTATTTAGGAACATTCAGTAACACATTATTTGGACAACCCACTTTACATGCTTTGTGTGTGCTTCCCTTGCCTTTAATGACTGCAGTGTTTTAGGCTGACTGCATTTTTTCCATAATTGTTATTGTTCACAATCATATGCTTATATCACAACAAACATCATGATTTTTTTTTACAAAATTAACAAAAGTTTGAAACACGGCTGGTGCTATAATCACCTTCAGAGGGCAGTGGTGAGTAATGTTTGTTAATTTGGGGTTGAGTTTATTTGAGCTACAAACACCAATGAAGCAATTGATCAATCTGGCCACTTTAGGCTTGTATTTTAATAGTAGTATACAATGAACCAAAAAGACCATTTAACAGGTAAATGCAAATGTTTATAAGGAAATTAATCATCAGCTAATATTCCATGATTGTGACATGCCTACCTTTAACATGATGCTACTAAAATGCTTTGAAATGTGTTGTTTTTCAGTGTTGTTTTTTGTTTATGTTTATGTAAAGAAAAAAAACACTAATAGGCTACAATTGTTGGTATAACAGTCATTTAGCCAGAAAGAAATTAATGCCTTATTTCTAAAGGAAAGTTCTAGTCGTCATTTCATTTTTCAGTTCTTAACACCAAATGATATAGATTACTATAATGAGCCAGGATAGGACTATTTAACGTTTAGTGTGGTTTGGCTAATAGTTTTACTGCACTGGACTTTCAGCTAGCAAAATGTTGTAATGAAGCAGTTGGACATAATACAAGGGCACAGGGCTGGTCATGACACTGGGAAGACACAGGGGAAATGGTCAAGCCTGACCAGGGATACCATAACAAAGGTAAACATTTGAATCTTATGTGTGTTAATGTGTATTGAAACCCAGTATTCATTTTTTGTAATCAAGAATGAAAGGGATGTGATTCTTACTGTGGTTTAATAAATCTCAAGTTTACTCTTTTATTCTTTATTTGTGTGCTTTTTAAAGCCACGTGTTTTCTGACATTTAAAATGGACATTGCAGAAAAATATCTATCAATCAATTGTTGATTAACTTTCTCGGTTGGTTCAAGCTTCCCCCCTTGCCCCCCTGTCTAAGGCAAAAATTAATGAAAAAATAAATCTTAAGCAGCACAGATGTTGTCTAATGTGGAACCTTCAGGTTGCACTTTGGCAGAGTATCAGAGTTATTGTAGAGGATGTGAGCAGTTTGTGTCACTGTGTCTCCCTGAGACAGAATACCAGCAGGCGCAGTAATAAACTCCTGAATGACTCGACTTCAGTTCCTTCACTCTCAGAACATAATTATTACCATACTGTAGCTCCACAGTGAAGTCTTTTGCTTCAGAAATGGTCAGTATTATGAACAGTGCTAGTACCATCTTTATTAACATACAGGATCCTTTTGAGAGCTTCACCGTCTTTCTGTTGGTACCAGTGGACGTAATTGTTGCTCTGTAGTCCGGTCACTTTACATTTGATATAAGCTCTTTTGCTGTTTTGCTTTGTCCAGGAGAGTTCAGGTTGCTCCACTGTCTGTCCCAGCACACCTACTGTAATAAACATTAAACTGTCAATAAGGCATTTTAATATTATAATTATCTAATTATTATTCAGATCTTACTTCACATCCATGAAGACTCACATTGATACAGTACTTACCTACAATCACTGAGAAAAGAACAGCACACACATCTATAAACATCTTTTATTTAGTTGTGAAAGTCTGTTCTTCATAAAATGCTCTTGATTGCACCTTCACTCTGAGTGTGTATGAACTCCAGTGTTATCTGCAGCACACATTTCTCAGCTGTGACTCATGTGATGTCATTTCCTGAATATCAGTCAGCTTTCTGGTTCTTTTAAAGTAGTTTACTGAAGATGTATCTTAATAAATGATAAAGGGGCCCTACGTTCTGTTGATGCCTGTTAACTTTAAAAATGAGTAGATCAGACTTAAACTATGAACTTTTGTAAAAACATAATAACTCAAACACGCCCTTGTACAAATTAAACAAGCAGTTTACTAAGTAAACAGGTAGCAGCAAGCTTCAGTTACAGAGAACTGCTTATAGAAATTCTCAGTAATATCAACCTTCAGTGCTGAATACTAAAAAGCTGGAAACTACTATGAGCTTTTTTTTCAAGTGTAAGCTGTAAAGTTCTAAGCTATAAGATTTAACAACCAATCAAGATTTTAGCTTTTAATGAGTTTACTCGATATACCTTTGTAAAAATGACAACATAGCTTTTGTAAATTTATTTTAAATTATGATATTTACATTCAACCAAGGCTACGCCGTTATTCAACCATGGCTACTCTTCATTCTCATTCAAAAGACATGAAAATGAAAAAAAAAACAGAAAGAACAAAACAAAAGTTGCAGGCCTGGTTCGATGCTTAGAAATGTGGAGCTTCAAAACCCAAAAATTTAGCTGCTTCACTCATGTGAACAATCTGTTCTTTAGCTTTATATCACTTTAGGCTGTGTTTACAGTGGGGGAAACCTTCGCTGGTATGCAGCTAAATCAGCACCAGACCAGCACTGGACTAGCATAAACCACCATAGACCAGCATGAAATGCTTGCTGGTCTGTACTGTTTTTTTTTTCAGCAGGGTGTTAAGGACGGTAATGGTATATCTTATTGTTTACAACATTACAGAGAGAAAATGTACTGAATAAAATAAGTACGATTAATAAGCTGTTCAATCATAACACTTTTAAAGTATTTAAGGATAAGACTGAATGCTGCCATCATTGTAGATTGTCATTATCAACAACAATAACAACATTTAAAAATATTAAGTCTTTATTGTCTTGAGTTACCACAAGTTTCGCCAATCCAAACAATCAGTACATTAGGAGCTTTTTAGCATTACAATGTTGGCATTATGTTGATTTTTTGTATTTTTTGGCTAAAACCTATCCACTGTGTACACTACAGTGCATGTATAATGACATGGAATATTGTTGGCTGTGTTCTAGTTTGTAGTTTGATGCTGGTGTATGCAGAATATAAACTGGGACACTGGTGGTCCATCACCACAAGTCCTAAGACCTAAAACAGCATAACAGGCAGTGTTTGACATCAGAGAGTAACAGTGTTCTTTGTCATAGTTCAAGGTTCTAGGTTGGCACTTTTTGTTCTCAAGCAGTTAAAGCTGATGTATAAAGCTGAACTGGGTTTATTCTGCCCTGAAATCAGTACTCTTTACTGAACAGGACATGCTTAAAGAGATATTTCAGTACATGTTAACAGTTAAGAATGCTGGTTGATGTCAGTCGGTTATACTTAAGTCTGTTTTCTTTCACAGATACAAGTTACTGCCAGTTATTTTTCTTAGTTTTTCCATGTATTTGTTACAGAAAGCTGGTATTGTGTCATCATGACTGCAAAAAGTGTCAAATGTATGTCGCTCTTCTTTCATGAAATAAAGCCATATAGAGTTTAGCACTTGTTTTCTTTACTGCTGGAGTACAAGATGAAGCAAATAAAGGTGCATATATATTTCAACAGTTAATATGTGTTTATGTTGTTGATGCATTTGGAACATGAATGAAGTGCTGGGTGGGATCAGCTAATAAGCAAACTTGGAGAGTCTCTGTTCTCAAAGATTCTCCAACTCGCCTTCTACCAGAGTTATCCAGCTGTATTTCTAATTTATCTGTAAAAATGATGTAAACTGTGTGTTATTCTTTACTAACCCTGAAGTAAAGAACTGAAATTCTGTAGATGCAGCTCTGTGAGGTCTGGTGGGATCTGACTGAGCTTGCAGTAGTTTTTGTACAGAACTTCAGCTTGTTTTCTCACTGTGCCACTCCAGGCCAGCAGGCACAGTAATACGTTGCTGAATGCTCTGACTTTAAGTTGGGAATTTTCAAAACAAACTGATCATCTGCTTTCTTCTCTGATTTTAAGAACTCAAAACCAGGATCATTTTGGTAGGATCCATCACTGATTCCTACATACTGAACTCTCTTCAATATTTCTTTCTTCTGATACCAGTGAATGTAACTCCAACAGGCTGAAGGGAATGTGCATTCTATGATGGCAGTCTTTGTAGCAGCTTTAGTCATTAAGAACTTCTGGTGCAGCTCCACAGCACTGTCCACTGTTGAAAAGAGTTTAGTACATGATGGGTAAACAAGTAAAATATGGTAAAAATGGAAAACATGTTCAATATCTTTAGGAACACAAAGAATGAGACATGATGAGACAGAAGACAAAACCTTGACATGGTAAAGTAATAACAGGTTAAACTTACCAGCATTAATTAGGACAACGAGTCAGCAAAAATATTAACTGCAGCGGGTGATGCATGGTTGCTGCTAGTCAGTGTAGGAAGCTCCTGTGACTGCAGCAGCAGATGATATCTGTAGAATGAGTGTTATTGAGGGAAAGTTGTGCACTTCTCGCCCCCTTCTGGTAAACTGCTTGGTCTAATACA